ATTAATCTAACATATCTCTAGCCTCCCAATAACGCTCGGAGAGAGAAGTCTTCCCCAAAGCAGGAGGCGATATTCCACTATGACTAACTCTGGGGCACTTCTTCGCCAAACTCCGCGATAACTGCTTAATTGTTATGCGCGCATATCTACGAAAGAGTCTGTGGCAACCCTTCACTGTAAACAAGGAACATCGTCTTTTTAAACTTGATTATCGTTTTTATTTTTACTATCGTATTTATTTTTATTTAATTTTCCCCTTCTATTTGAGCTTAGTGTTGATAAAAGATGCAAAGAATAATTGTTTGTTTGAATACCTGATACATGCAGAAAAGATGCAGGCAAATATTTGATAACCAATAGCGACTCGTAAATTCTATTTCGGCCAAAATACTATACATTGATTATAGTTTAAACAGCTTTTTAAATTAAAGCATTCTATTTGCAAGTTTTCCGAAGGATATTAAGTATAATTACCACTTTATTATAAATGTTAAATTTTAAAAACATAAGAGAATATACCTCTTAGAAACAACTTTTTACCATGCTATTTCTTTTTCCATTTCAGCACATTTTTTTCCCACGATATATAAATATTTATTATAACATTCGGAAAAGGAAATCAGATGGTTATCAAATTCATAACTATATTTAAAATTTAATTCATTTAATATGCTTTTATATTTAAAAATTAATGAACACTTAAAATTTATTATGCATAAATACAACTGTAAGATTACCCCCCACTAGATGGCGCTACGAGATATGAGCAAAACTTTAGAATTAATTAAAAAAGAATCTCTCTCGTTTTAGTGTGGTGTAGAAAGGATTAGAATGTGGTGGGAAGGAGAGAAGCGTTTTTGACGATGTCATTTACAATTATTTTTATATACTTAATTTTATGTTTGTGATGTAGCATAATTAGGTGTTAAAATAAATTTGTCTTATGCCAAGAAAGGTTTAGTGTGAAAATTATTTCACTTTATGAAAATTGGAAAAGAACCTGCAAGTTTTACTACAACCCATGGATTTTGTTGCTCAAAATACATCAATTGATATCGAAATGTATTTAAGTTCGACCAAATCGAATATATTTGGTTTTTGAGGCAAAAAAGCAAGATACAATATAATTTTTGCATTATTACTATTAATTCTAATTTACCATATCTTTTTCACTTCATAAATTTTAAAAAATTGCAGTTTCTCTGAACATAATCAAAGACAAATGATTTCAAAAGTGTTTCATAATTAAAAATTCAAGATAATCTAAATCAATGAAAAAAATTAAAAAAGCACTTTTATAAGAAATGCATGTGCATGAAAGAAAAGAACTGTCATTTCATTTAAATTTTAGTACATAATCATTAAAATAAAATGTACTCATTGAATTGCAGCATATTAAGTATTTCTCTCAACATTTTGTGATTGTCTAAATGCTTCACCATATAATTAAGTAATATATTTTATCTGTGAATCAAGTTCTGTTTAAAATTTTTTACTCTTTAAGCAAAATTAAACGTGATCGCACCCTAATTAGTGTATAATTACAATATTTTATGCATCACATAAAGATTTAATAAATGTGACTGACCAAGTGTGAACATTGTAGGTTAATATATGGAGACCATACTGCCCAAAACAGAAAATATCAGTTATTAAGCAAATTCATTTAGGAAGAAATGCTTAGTGACTGTTTACAGGATATTAACTGGAATGAAATGTTGATAATTTCATATTAAAACGGTGAGACTATACTAAGAATCGTTTAATTTTCTTTTCGAGATCCATTGTTTCTTGCTGGTAAAAAAAGTTGGACGAAATGAAAATAAAAACTAGGCAAAATTTAAGACACTGAACGCAACCATAGCGAAATAATTCGTTATTTTTCTGCATTGAGTTTTAAATTAAATTAAAAATTATTACTAAATGTATTAGTTTATCCTTATTCACCACTACAGTAAATTGGATTGCATTTAACTCATTTTGAAGACATTTTTTACTTAGATTTTAATTTTTTTTAAATATTAATATGACTAAGTAAATATTTAAATAATTGGTACAGATAAAATTGTTCGTATTAATTCAGGTCTTATTTTTGAAATTTATGAGTTATTTTTTAAATTGCAAAGAGGAAATAAAGAATAATTTTCAACAACTGATTGAAATATGGATATATTAACCGTAATTTTTTATAAAAGGTATGGTAATTGTTTAGGTTTAGTGCTGAACTTCTTGATATTAATTATTTTTGTAGCAAATTTATAAAAAAAAAATTTCAACATTTAATTCTTAGCGGAAATATGGTTCTATAGATGAAATCATAAATGGTAGAAATGTTTATTTATCAATATAATGAAATTGCGTTGCGCCACGTAAATACTAACATAGTTGTATAATTAATTACTGCTCCATTTTTACGTTACTTGAATTAAAATAGAAGTTGCGTTATATGAAACAATTAACGTGAAACTAAAACATACGAAAAATACAATTTATATATCTTAAGTAATTTTATTGTTCATTTAAATTAACAAATATTTGTACATACGAGTTCCACCGATCATTACATAAACAAACACTACTTGCACTCGTATAAAAAAAAATATATAATAGCGGTTGAAGTTTAATCTCGTACGATTCGAGAAAGCGTGAGACTCATTGATTTGGCGTGTTAAGAATTCGCACGCCAAACAGTGCCAATTGGAGTGCCCCAGAGTTAGTCAAAGTGGAATATCGCTGCCCGGTCTAAAGATTTCCAGCAACCCCAGGGCCTTTCGCAAGGCAGTGCCCTCTCCGCCCTTCTTTTTTTGGTTTATCTTGAAGACTTTCCCATCTGGAGTTGAAATTCTTGCGTTAGCCGATGACAGCTACATTTGTTACATTGCAAAATCTTTTGACACGGTAATCAATTGTAATATTGAACCCAATCCAGAAGACAAAGGAACTACTGGTATTGGGAGAAATTTGCCTTCGTGGAGGACTTTGTTGATGGAATTTACCCGTATTTGTGTTAAATGGTGAGGAAAACCATGGAAACCTCCCACGATTAGCTTAACGGCAAGGGGACTTTAACCCCTTGGCATTCGTACAAAATCAGAATCAAGTTGTAATTAAATAAAAAACGGCAACTTAAATGCAGTCGTTGCTAATTTGACAGACTTACTTTGCTTTTACTTTAATTATTGTTAGGATAATCATATGTATAATCAATATTAATTCAAAGTATAACTAAATAGTTTTATTTTGAACAAAGTAATGGTGAATTAAATAAATCAAACAATTATAACTCCGCCCATAAATAAACTGCTAAAGAATTACTTAGATTGCCAGTTTTATTTTTTTACCCTGATTGATACGGTCTTATGCTGGCACGTATTTGTGACAGTCGGCGCCAAAGGGTTAACCCATGATCGGGTAAAATATTTGAGAAAATCTTTAAAATCTCATTAAAAATGCGATTGCAATAAAGCAGTTAAAAAATTTTTACTTTTGGCTTTTGTATTAAAATTATCAAATTGACACTTTCCAACTGGCTATAATTATGCCAATTGTGTCTCACATAGGTCTACTACTTATCTTAGAAGGAGAAAATAATTTGAAAAAGGAATATTTCATTTATATCTTTTTTTTAGGAAAAAGTAAACTATCTGCAATTACCACAATTTTTTTAATGGTTAAAAAAACTATGTCAGTAGGTAAAAAGCTTTATAGTTACTTTGTTACTAATACTAGTTAAGATAATCAAGGGAAATATTTTTCCCTCTCAAAAAAAAAAAAATACGTATTTTTTTAAACTAATTTTGATGTTTTGGAGTTGCCTGAAACTCGTTTAAAAAATTCTTGGAATGATCAGACTTTTTAAATATCCACACTCTATTTCTGAGCTAAGTGACTAAACCTTTTGGCTTATTTATTTATTTAAATGGCATTACGAGAAGATTTCTTAAATGTTTTACAGGGAAAAAAATGACACTGGAAGTTTTACATTTAATCTAAACATTCTTATTTTTCGGCTAAAGAACAGAATACGGTGGCTGTAGTATTCTATTTGCTATAAAATAGCAGCAGAAAACTTATAATATTTTTTGTTTAATTTTAAATTAAACAATAAATCAGGACAGCCACGTCTCTGGGGAAAAAAATCAAGAACGAAACAGGTTTGACTATTTACTACCGACCAAAAATGTTGATGCATTAGACATTTGTGTTACAAATGACAGACTGAATTCGTGAATATAGCGTAAAATTAAAGCCTATAAAGTTTATAATAACCATAAAACGTTTGTTATCCAGATTTATAAATGTATTTGTAAGTACAATCACATTTTATCATAGCATTTTTGTAATAATATTTATCTTTAGGGTTTTAGTTTCAAAACAATAGGAAATTTAAAAATTATATATTTTGTTAACAGCAAATAAAAAAAACTTAAAAAATTATTAAGAGTTAAAGTATTTGTTAGTTTAAAGTAAATTAAGTTGATTTAATTTTTTTAGGAAGCAGTTACTTCAAATGATATGTTTTAATAATCTCATTTGCCCTACATCGCTTTTATTAAATTCCGAGAATCTTCGGTTAAAATAAATAAAAGAATAATAGCTATACAATATGTTTCTTAGATGTGTAACGTAATTGTTGAATTGTTTCTCATCGGACCTTATCTTGTATTGCTTCCGTTGTTGTATTTCAAATGAAGGACTTACTGCACTGTGCTTGTCCAGGTCTCTTGCATAGCCAAGCGTAACGCAGGACATAAAGCATGAAGGGAGGACATCGCAATTGAGCGTAACACCAATCGTGCTCCAAGCAGCACCTGAAACAAAACATTTTTTTTTATACCATAAAATCAGAGAAGAATCAAAAAATAATTGGTGCGTGTTCCGCGAACATTCTTTTATCTACTCATTCAATTCTTAGGCCATATATAAGAATATGTTTAACAAATGACAGTGATATGCCTCTTTGAAAAAGAATAATAATTGCAAACAGTTATTGTAGACTATGTTACTCAGCTGCAGAAGCGTAGATAGCAGAGGAAAGAAGGGACACCTGAGCCCTGGTGCAGCTTTAGAGGGTCTTAAAGCTATGAAAATAATTAGAAATAAATTCCAAAACAAAATGCTTGTCTCTTTTTAATATTTCAAGTTTTTTTTTTACAAGTTATGAGCCCCAAAACTTCTCTCAATTTTTCATCCCATTTAACTAAAAATTGAATAGGATACCTATTTAGTAGCTTGCATTGCTTGTAGTTATTTTTAAATTAATTTTAACAAAATAGCCAACATGGTCAATGAAACATGCCTTACAGTCAATGAAACAAGCTATCAAAAACAATAAATGCGATCAAAAACATTGTACATCGTATATACACTTAAAATTTAACTTTAACATACACTTAAATTTTATACAAAATCAAATGAAAATGTATGACTTTTTCCAGTTACGTTGTTTTTGTGTTTTATTTTTTGTTTTATTTTTAAATATTAAAGTTGAAAAATATTATTCAATGAAAAATGAAATATTTAACAATTCAATGGCAAGTGTAGTGGATTTTAGTTTTAAAATAGTCTAAAACTCAAAATGGTCTTATAAAACCAAGTCTGACATCATACTGCAAAGATTGCAAAAACTAAGATCTCAGTGCGCTGTGAGCCCCTAGTAACGCCTCTGCTCAGCTATCCTCGAAAACTATGTTGCCTGACGTGTCTGGGGCATGTAAAAAATTTTGATCGGAGAATATATTATTTAATCTCACATGCCTGTCCAGGTATGTAGAAGCATAATAAAAAAATACCGTAAAATATTGGTCATGCGTTCCACAAATTATGATGAAAATCCTCCGGATGTATGATGAAATAATTAAAAGGGGTTGTATAAAAAATGTAAGAGGGTTTGATTTGATACGATCTAAATGTTATTAAATGTAATTATAATAGTAAGAATTTTGCTTATTCATTTTTATTATCCTCAAATTAAGCTTATTTTACTTGAAAAACAATTACTCTAATCGCTATGCGTAAGGAAATATACGTTTATAATTTAATTTTAAAGTAACATGTTGTAGGGCATGAGCATTTGAGCTATACTTTTGCTATTGCTTCTTAGTAATAATGCGGTTTACTTCTTTTGTATGAAATCGGGAAAGATATTCGGGCTCGTTAATAGTTTTCTGCAGACACGTATTTTGGAGACTAACATGCTCGAGATGTTTTTCTATGAATGACATTAACAGGCAAAATATTTTAAGAATTCTTTATTTTTTGGATTTCTAAGAAATTTACATTAAACATTAACGTATCTAATTATCTATTAGAAGTGATAAAATAATTCCCTTAAAATTAATATAATTATTTGCACTTTTTTGTACCTAAATAAATGGTTTGTTTAAAAGTGATTAATTGCTTTTCGGGAACTTGATAATATATAAACTTAAAAGAATAAAATTTGTGATTCATGATGTGCTTGTTTTTCACTTAATTTTGTTAAATGGTTGCTAAATTGCAAAAAATAGTCGGTATTTTATTTTTAAAAATGCTTACACAAAATTATCTTTCTATTATTTACTATTTATTAGTCCTATAAAAATGGTACTTTTACATTAAAAATAAAATATTATTTTAGGCCGTGATCTGGTGTTTTAAAGCATATCATAGCTAAGGAGAATTTTTCGATTGATTGCATTGGTTTACTTATCCCAGATAACTGTTAACCAGTTAAACACGGAGTTTAATTTCAGAATTGAATTTTAGCAATGACGCATTTTTTTTTTTTTTTTTGCAAAACAATTAATTAAGCCACAAGTTACACAAAAAATTAACTATCAAGATTTTTCTTATTAGTTATAACACACATAAAAAGCATTAAATTCTCGCTTACTTCCTCGGAGATTAAGTTAATAGTAATGAATAGTTTTTAATTAAAAATATTAGCTTCTTTTACTCTTCGTACAAACGAAAACTAAATAATTTTTCTGCTAGTTCTTTAACATGTTGAATGCCACGCTAATTTTGCATGACTTGCTCGTCTGGCCAAAGTGATTTTCTCAGTATGCATTGCATCTTTTGACGAAATATTATTTACAGCAAAACAGTTAATTTTTGTAATCATTCGTGACGCATTTAATTCACTGAGGTCACCGGTGATCCCCATGGAACTCAACGTGTTAAGGTTACATGTTATATATGTATATAAATAAAACTATTTTTGTGAGTTCTATATTGCATTAATTTCTTCAAACCACTTTAGTAACGGTAAAAATATATAAAAATTAAAAGCATTAAAAATTTATTCGCATTATGTGTTTCTAATAATCTTGGCTTTGCTGGTCACCGGTGACCCCAAGGCATTCAACGTGAAAGAGCTCAAGAAGAAAGATTCAAGAAGAAAGAGCTTTTTGATCGAACCCTGCAGATTCTTGCTTTCAATTCAAGCATGTTTACAACTCAGCCTCGAACAGCAAAGGACCAGTATTGGTCTTGCTAAATTTTGTACGCAATTTCAACGCAATCGTTTAATTAAATAAACGCTCGCCGTCCAAGTCATGGTTTATGCATGTGATTGGTTTTGAGTCCCTAGCTCTACTACGCCTCGCAATATAAAACTCATAGCAGTTCTATTTGGAATATAAGGGAAACATACCACCAAAAACTATTCTTAATGTATTTTATTGAAATTTCATGTTTTGATAGTCATTGGTATTTTCTTTATTTTACACAAAGTGTACACGGCGTGTAAAATAATAGCCGTGCAAAATAAACGGACGTGAATGCATGCCAAACGCTTTTGGTGTTTTTAAAGCTGTTGGTACAGAAGACTAAGATTGAATATTTATTAAAAAAAAATTTCAAAAATCTTTTATATTTATTGATTCATTGTAATAAAAGTTCCACTAAATTAACATTTTACTATAAACATTTTCAGGAATAAAAATTGAACTTCTATCTATCTAGATAATATAAAATACTAATGCGTGAGCATACATGTAAATATACTGTCACGATGCGAATTAAATTACTTTATAGAGTTGGCAACAAAAAACTGAATTATCTAATTTGCCTTTATGTCTTTTAATACGACATCTAATATGCCTTTCAAATGTAAGCGTAAGCTAAAGTGTTATATTTGTCATGTCACGCAGGTAACTAAATGCTTAATTAGGCAGAAATTAAAGGTTCAAAGCGAATAGTTAATATTTTATATTCTATATTTTAGCTTTATTTATGCTTATTAATTTATGATAGTGCTATATTTTAGTTTTAAGAATGTTTAATATTTAACGCGATGCTGGACGGCAAGCGAAACGAGCAAAGGCTCCTAATTTTTTAAATAACATCTATAATTGGATAATGCATTACATAAAAAAGAACATTAACAGTCGAAGAGTTTCCTTACCCATCTATAACATTAACTGGTGTACCAGAACCATTGAAACCGCAGTAACAGCCATATCTCCTGTATGCTAAAGGCTGACATCCTGTGATACATCGGATCATATGACCTAGCTGGAAAACACTTCTTGTTCCTTCGAAATCCTGGTGAATTCTGGATCGGTAGTTGCTCGAGTTTCCTTTTAAAACTAGGGGGGAAAAAATGAGGATGAATTACTTTTCTGGGGTTAAACTAAAAAGCTCGCTGCAAATTTTTATATTTTTCTAGTATAATAATTTATTGCCTATTTCAATAGATAGTGTTCTCAATACATAATTGGACATTTATAAAAGCTGGAGTAAAATCCCATCAATTTTCTGTTAGAAAGTCGTGCAATTAATCTATTGCACTCCGATTATTATAACCAGAGTTCATACTCAACTGAAAAAAAAAATTAAAACATTTTAGTAACATTAATATAAATTTCTTTTACATTATTATGTTTGTAGCTACTAGAAGATTCTATTTTCTTCAGCTAAATATATACAGATCGGAAGGTTGCAGATATGAAATTTTATTTCGATGGTGGAAGCTAATATTTAGAAACGTTCATCTTCTTTATAACAAAATTGATAAGAATTATAAATTTTTTCTAGGTGCGTAGGAACCCTATTTAACACATTCATGCTTAGACAAAAAAAAAAAAAAAATGGGGGGTTATATATGAAAAACTACTATCTGAAAAAAGTGGTAGTACTTATTTCTTTTTGTTACCTACCATTTTAATTTTTTTTAAAAAGTAACAATCTTAATTCAGATTCAATGATAGAGGTTACCATTTTAATTATATTAACAGACCTGCCAACTTTTAATCCCTTCCATTATCATTTTTCCCAGTGGTATTAAAATGGAATTAAAACTTCAATTTTAAGCAAACAAATACGTTGTATTTGAAAAAAATTAAGTTGATAACCATGAACTTGAACTTGAACTAGAGATGTGTACAGAGTGCCTGTCCGCGAAGCGGACAATTGACTCTTCCATCTGTGGTGATGCCCGTGGGCGCCTGTAATGTTGTCGATGGAGAGAAGGGTAGAGTGGCGAGCGAAAACGCAGAAGCGGAAGTCACGAATTAGTTTATACTAAGAGTGAATAGTCCTTATATATGGTGGTTACTATGTAGTATGAGTGGCATGACAACCATGCGGAAACTAATAATTGGTGCACCGGAGTACCTGGCCAAAAATGCCACCTCCGTAAATTATATGATTACAAACTGAATCAAAGGCCATTGATATTAAAATTATTTGGGTTAGTAAACTTAATGTTAGGTAGTTAAATAAAATTAAGGAAAAGAAAATAGAACAGCGAAGACACAGACAGGTAATAACATATATAAAAAAAAAATAAAAATAATAATAAATAAATAAATAAATAAATAAATAAATAAATAAATAAATAAATAAAATTAATTATTTATTATAAATTATTATTTATATTTTATATTTAATTATTGAAAAATAAGCAGTTAGTGATTAACACTGTTAGTAGTTGTATTAGTAAATTGAATCAGAATGAGCCGCAGTAATTCCGCGAAGTATTGGGCCAACCCAAGAAGGTGGAAAAGGGTAATGATGATAGAGGAGCCAGTCAGGGGGATGGAAAAATCATCAAACGATGTCTTGGAGATTATTATAGTAATGGAGAATGGCCTTAGGCCGTCTCCTGCACTTAGGGTCATCTGGGTCGTAGTTAGAGGAAGACCATATAAGGGGGTTGAAGTGTCCAGTGCTCTTAAGAAAATACTTGAGAGAACTATTTTTGTATATGTCAAGAAGGCTAGGCGTACAGGTGTCATTACGGATATTTTTATTCCTGAAATACCAGGGTGAATTTGTGATATTGCGGAGGGTTTTGTTATAAGCACTCTGTAAGAGTTTAAGATTTGTCTTTGCAGCCCCCCCGAAGGCGGGTGCTGCATATGTTAATAAGGGGGTGAGAAGCATTTTAAAAATTAGAATCCTGTTATTAGTGCTGAGGGGAGAGTTCTTTTTTAGAATAGGATAAAGTGCACATTTTGCAGCTATGAATTTACTCCTAATGTTCCTAAAATGATATTTGAATGTCAGGGTTTTATCCATAATGACACCTAAGTACGTAGCCTTCGTTTCCCATTTGAAAGAGAAGTTGTTATCAATGATAACATCCTTCTTGTAGGTCCTTTTTCTGGTGAATAGCACCGCCTGAGTTTTGTCGATATTGAGGGCAAGTTTCCAGTTTTGGAAGTAGTCAATGATGGTGAGGAGATGGTAAATAATATTCCTGTTGATATCGCTGATATACTTGCTTTGTGTGGCAATGGCTGTATCGTCAGCGTACAGTGCAGTCAGAATGCCAGGATCTCTAGGGATATCATTAATAAAAATTAAAAACAGGAGGGGTCCTAGTTTGCTCCCCTGGGGAACACCACTATTAATGGGTCTTAAGGTTGAGAAAAAAGTGTTGCAGTTGACCATGAACTTTCTGTGTGTTAGGTAGGATCGTATAATTAGAACAAGTGGTCTAGGGAAATTATATTTAATTAATTTATAGATAAGTACATCGATCCATACCTTGTCGAAGGCTTTAGCCAAATCGAGAAAGACAGCACCTGTATGTTTGCTGTGTAGCCATCCTTCGTGTATGTATTCAATGAGCCTGATGAGTTGGTGTTGTGTGGAATGTTTAGGGCGAAAGCCAAATTGCTCATCGATAATAATGTGGTTATCATCGCAGAAGTCTCTCATTCTGCACAAGATGATGTCCTCAGCAATTTTGCTCAGAGAGGAGAGTAAACTGATTGGTCGATAGCTGTCTGGTTTTGTTGGGTCTTTTCCTGGCTCATGACAACCATGATAGTAACGCATATTAATATATAAGCTTAATTTTCGTAATAATAGTGGTGATCAAAATCATTTAAAAATTAAATTTATAAAAGAAAAAATAGTATATATTTACTACCACTTTAAATATGAAAATAAAATCTCCCGCAAAATCCGGGAGAGTTGGCAGGTATGTATTAAGGTAGACAAAGTTACGATATTTAGCAGAAACAAGAAAGTTACGTTTTGAGCTATTTTGTTTCTGCAAAATTAATCCTAGTAATGAACTTGTGGTACAACTTTTTCTTTTTTTGAAAAGTGACTGCGGAAAAGAAAAATGCTCAATAGTGCATCCTAGAAGAAAGAAGGCCTCAGTACGAATCAATTTAGTTGTCCAACATAACGAACATTAACTGGACAGTGGAGATAATTACGTTAGATGTCACAACGTTCGGACCACTAAAAGATCGAATTTCGAGGTAATCCGTGCAGAGGCCGTTTCTCCCAGTAGAGGTGTTGCTCAAATGTTACAATTGAGTGCAAAGGATTATATATTTGTTTAAATACATATATCTGTAAGTAGTGTTAGTTAAAATTTTTCTAATTTTCCTTTATTAGAATATTAAAACGTATCCCTTACTACCATTGAAAAAAATAATTTTAAAATTTCATTAATTTCTTAGAAGTAGGAGAATATAATAAATTTAGACAAGTGTCTACATTCGCCTTCAGGGAATTTACGAAGTGTAATTTCAATCAAATCTTCAATTTTGATTTAAATGAAGAAAAAACCAAATTTAGTCCAGCCAATTTAGTCCAAATTTAGTCCTTTTTTCAAAATGACGGAGTATTATCTAAATACTTCAACCCCTCGAATTAACTTACTCAACACGTCAAGATGAACTGTTTCACTCAGTACCGTAGAAACTCATCGGGAGGGGGGGGGGAGTAGTGACGCAGGGATTCGAGATATTTGTTGATTTTCATCAATTCTAGTTAATTTGCACAAATATAAATATTGTAAATAGTCTTTCCCTTATCCCATTTTGTTTTATTTTATTCGTATTTCTCAACATAGTGTTTTTTTCATTATTTCAACAAACTTATAACTGATTTATCGTTTAATTTGGGTAAGGTAAGCCCTTCTTACCCCCCCCTCTTCCCTCATTATTTTTAAATCAAATCAGACGATGGAGCAGATGCCCTTCGAGCTAGATTCTAAGGCTAGATTAGGGCTAGATTCTCCGAACACAATCGGAGAATATCAGCATGAATCGATTCATCTAAATTAATACGACAAATTATTTTCCTATTCAATGATAAAGAAAATGCTAGACATTTACTCTCTTTGTGAGATAGATAAGAGCCACGGAAAGAAAACTAAGAAGAAACAGAAGAATGATTGTAGCAATTAGCTTCACGTCTTAACTTTCACGTCAATTTCAAACATTCATATTATTCAAATATTTAAGCGCGGGTTAAATTTTTGAATGGTTTCATCAATGTTTTGGTGTTCTTAGTTTTTGTAATTTAAATATAAATTATACCTAACGCGAATTAAACATGAAGTATAAATTCTCAAATATAATGATTATACGATAAATAAATTTTAATGCAAAATAGTTTTAATATTCATTAATTTTAATATAGATGAAATTTTTATATAAAATTAATATAAATAAATTTCAATACAAATTAATTTTAATAAAGCACTACTTATTTTAATATGACAGTAAAGTATCTTTACCGTTGGTTTACGAGTTGCACATATTATAAGTTGATGAGTATATTATGTGCATAATATTTTGTTTTGGAAAAGTGAAAACAAAAATAAATTCATATTTAATAAAAAAAATACATTTATGCTTACAATTGCAAAGATACATTAACATAACATTAGATACATAACATACATTACATAACATACATTACATAACATACATTACATAACATACATTACATATCATACATTACATAACATACGTTACATAACATACATTACATAACATACATTACATAACATACATTACATAACATACATTGCATAACATACGTTACATAACATACATTTCATTAACATTACGTAACAAGAACATTATAGACCCGAAAATCCAATAACTCAAATTTAGAAAATCTCGACTAAATGTGTTTCAAACTAACTTTAATGAAGTTAGATATAAATATTACTTAATATAATTAATTTTTATTTAATTTTCATTTTGTTACGTAACATACAATTATCCATAAAATTTTTCTACGTTCTTCGTCCTTGCGATGAGTTTTAGTGATAAAAATTACAATACCTATACTCAAAACCATATAATATCTATACTC